ACGAACAAAATGTAGGCTTGTTTGGGGTCATCGTGGAACGAAAAAAATAAGGCAGATTTTCAGAGGAAAGCCTTGAAATATTTTGATGGATGTCGTATTATTACCCGTAAATTGGTTTACAAAACTTTGTCGGAAGTTTTGGTCACCTGGAGATTATTGAGTCAAATCTGGACTTTTTTTAAATTTCTATTTAATACAGCGTTTCGTTGGTGCTTTGAGAATAATCGAGCAATTTTTGTGTGGTCTTCAAATATTATGTACATTTTTTTCCAATATAAAAGAAACCAAACCGATATGAGATCAACACCATACCTCCAAAATGGAGAACAGATCACTCTCTTAGAGCAACCTAAGAGCAAAGTGACACATCTCCCGACTCAATAAGCTCAACAATATTTGCTACAATCAAACTTTCCACCAACCAAATGACAAACTACCAAAAGGTCCGTTACTTGCTTACCATACCACCCCCCTCCCCCCCAAAAAAAACCACCCCAAAACAGAGAAACACCAACGCTAAAATACACCACACTATCTCCAAAAGACTTACGCCCACGTCACCTAACGAAACAGAGAGCAAAGTACCAAAATTACGAAAATAGGTCATAACCGATCCGGTGTCACGGTCTCACTTCTCCGGCGTGCTAGCTTCTCCGGGTCGATTTGGCGGATAACTGAGCACGTTACAGTACACGTTACATGAGCACGATTCATGCTCATGTGTCCGCTGTGCTTACTTTTCCTCGGGCTGTTTTCTGAAGTCTACCAAGCCCATTAATAACACAGTGAGGGACACCCAAGAATGTGTTATGTAACACTTCCTGTGGGTCAAGTCATTCCATGGTCTTGCAAGCATTCTGATTTGTGTTCCCAGCGTCATGCATGTGTGTGTTCATGGAGGATTAATTAAGAACGAACTCCTTGGTCCGTGTTCCTTGCTCGTTCGTGGTCCATTTTGTCCTTATTTTTGCAACCACGGCTTAAAATAAATGTGCATTTCAAATTCAAGTCTTTAATATTGGGAGTTAATAGTGCGCGCCACGAAAATTCTATGCATACAAATATCTTACGTACACAAGTACAGCCCCGAAAAACTCAGCACACTAATACAGTGACGAAAATGTACACTACTGCGCAATTTTGTGCATGCGTGTTGAAGCGAAATTTCCGTTTTGGAGAAGCTAGCACGCCGGAGAAGTGAGACCGTGACACCGGCAAGGAAAAAACATCATTTTTTTTTGAAAGCAAAAGCGGCGACGAGCATACGCGGATTCTTGAAAGGGCTGGGCCCCAGACCAAAACAAATTATGAATTTATGGAATTTTTGATCATGCATGCTTGATTCAGTCAAGAAACAAATTGTTTATATTTCGGCACCAACTTCCTAGTCCAAGTGCCATTTTTACCACATGGTCACCTCGAGTTTGAAGCCACGATCAACACGCAAACATTCAAAATGGCACCGGAGCCACTTTCAAACCCGCGTTATCTAAAACGGCCACAATCAGTCTGCCAAAAAAAAACTGCACTCACTTTTTTAACAAGTTCCAAAACTGTCAAGAGTAAAAACACAAGCAAGTGAACTCGGCATAAATTGATGGCGGTATAGAAGAAGTCTGGTTGTTGTAATGCCTCACACAACTCGGCTGCTTTGGTTAGGTTTTTTTGTGGAAATGCCAATCGGTTTAATTTATAAGTGTTTCATAATTCTTCAAAGGGAATGACAGTTTGCCGTGGCGCCAGCGTTTTGCACGAGGGTCACGGCCCAGTCTCTCTCAATACGCCGGGATCTGGATAAAATATCAGAAGAATTAGGGTTGGCACGGTCATAAAACTGCTTGGAAATTCGTTCTAGTAGACCGTAAATACCACAAAAGCTGGCACATAAATTACGATCCGTTGAAAACAAAAACTTGATGGGGTTATTAAACTCGGAGTCACGACCGGCTGATTTTTGGGGAGAGAGGTGGGAGGAAAGTAATTAGATCAGGGTAATGGATTTTGCACAAAATGCGAAGTTGTGAAGAGATCGACTTTTTTTTGTTACGAAAGTTGTACTCTAACTTTTTTTGTCCGTTGACGGCGTAAAAAAAAACAGAGACTCGCGAGTGTTTTATTCTGAAGTTGGCATTTAGCTGGGTCCCGCACACAGTGACCAGTTTATAGGGGCATGCAATGAATTTTTCATATAGGAATATATTCTGTACAACTTTCTCCTCAAAACTATTGGACATCCCTTTTTGGTTAATCAGTTTATTGAAAAGTGCACTTCTTTAAACATTTAAATATTACCCATGATTTTTCTGACAACTGAGGGTGTGATGTTGCTGTGATGTCATTTCAGGAAGACACTGTTCACTTTCGGGGTTTTTTGTTCCAATTGTGAACCCAAAAATGTGTTCATTGAAAACGTTTGTGAGAAAGGTTTCCTCAGTGCCTTACTTTCGGTTCTGACGCAACAACGTTCACCAAAGAAAAGAAAAATTACGACAGCAAAATATCCAAAATTCTGGCAACTTGTGGTGCTGAAATAACTGTAACATTGAGAATTCTTCCTGAAATGACAGTACACTGTTGCTCATGAACATGGAAATTCGCATCAGCAGAAAAACCAAAAAGGCACCAAAATACCCGGGAAAATGGCAAAACGAAATAAATCGAAAAAAATGGGACATAAGGTAAGTTTTCAAGGATTGCATTAAAAAAATACATTGTATGAACCCTTTAAAGCTGTGTGTTGGGGTATGCCGTGCGGCAAAGTGCCACCAGCGAAATGCAAGTAACAAACCAATGTTTCTGTTTTTTAACAGCTGAACTGCTTTGAATAAACGAGTACATTTCAAACCAACAGAAATATCCAACTTTTTGTATTCCTTGGCTCGAAAGTACGGGACACCGTCGATGTTTTGTAACTAACCCAAGTAAACATCTTGTGCTCTAGGGCAAAATTGCTGAGATACCAAAAGTACAGAAACTTTACCTGCAAACATAATGATATAAAATTTGACATATGACTGCTCAACGCGCTAGAGACGTGCAACTACAAAACATCATTAATTTTTGATTGATTTTCAATTCAACAAAACTTGACTACCGGCCACCAAAGTAAACAACATGATGACATTGTGGTAATGAAGGGCTTTGTATGTCGTGTCGAGTGGGTTGGGGTCGGGGGGAATGATAACCACTTTCATATTTCATTTTTTTTATTTGTGAATTCAATTTCCATGGTTTGACTACATGTATATAATCTGTTCATAACATCATACGCAATCGCATTGTGCTGGTTTGCCAGAACTTGTAATTTTGTTTCTTTATACAGGTTCTTTCGTGATTGATGTCGGTGTCAGGTTAAATTACACCGGGACTCAAGGCTCGATCGACGGTACAAAAGGCGAGTCGGTGTCTCGCCGGTGGAAAAAAAAATGAAAAATGGACATTTCCACACGTTCGGGAACTCAACCAAAACAACCCACGTAAACAAGTCGGTGGGAATTGAAGGCACTAGCTCACCGGATGCATTTAGAGAGTCGATCAACTCAATCATAAAAGTACACTGACTTTTGCCGCCAATTTTTTTCCTCCTTTTTCCCCCCAAGCGACGAGTTTTTTTGTGTACATGTCTCGTTCAAAAAAGGATGATGCATGGCCATGGAACACAAAAAAAGGAGACCAGGTGAAATTTAGTACAAAGTACGACGTGGTATTGTCAGGTTCACACAAATCGCCTTCGCCATAAATGTACTCCCACTACCCTAGCCATCCCGGCCCGCCGGTTAACCGGAGGGTTACGCTTGACTAGATTGAGACAGACCGACGCTTCATCAAATTGTTAAACCATAAAAAATAGTACAGCCTGCCCTAAAGTGGTACCACAAGGTCGCATGGTGGGATAATTAGCAGGTTTTCAAGTGCTCTATATATACCAGCAAGTTTGCACTTTCCCCCTTGTTTCATACAATTACTCACGTAATTGTCCTGTCCCACGCTCGCACTCATCTCTTTTCGATAAGCTGAAATAATGTTAGACCCATTTACATGTTTATTGATTTCGATTGTTACAGACTGAAATTTCACATTTAAGTGCTAATTGATCACTCACATAAGCCCACATGCCCACAAATATACAAGTTCAAATGCTACTTGTGTCAATTTTTGGCTGGTAGGCCTTTACAACTATGTTATTCCAAATTCCACTTCACTGGTCCATGGTAATTCTCAATGTTATCTGGACGGATGCTTATTTGAATTTGCTAGACAATAATTTTCAGAAGACCACATAAAAAGGTCCCGTCATAATCATACAGCGTTTTTTTCTCAGTCGAAAAACTGTAATATATTCCACGGCACAGCTCTATGAAATCAAACCCTAGTACTAGTAGTAGCAGAACTCATTACAGAAAGTCTGGTATGAAAATCTGAGAAATTATCATTTGGGATTCTCTATACCCAATTGGGACCGATTCACATCGGCTTTCAACACGACAACCGCGTCTGCATTTTGAATAAGGCGGCAAACACACACACACACAGTCACTCGCTCACAAACGCAACGAGGAATTGGGAATGATTTATCACGGTGTTATGGCCGATCGGCGCGGCGAACTTATTGAAAGAAGAGAGTTAGATCTAGCGAGTCCTGTGGTGATGACTAGAACCCGAGCAATCGGCCAGACATCTGGAGGGGGGAAAAAACCGCCCATCTATCATCCGTTTCTCCCTTGATTTATTTTTCCTCCATCATCATCGGGATAAATGTATTTCGGCTTCGGCTTTTAGGTATGGGAAGAGGAAAAATGAGCCGCGAGTGACGATTAATAATGCATGTAGTCCGGGGCGAGTGGGCCAAAAATCAATCACGCATACGATGTGAAGTCCATACTAGATGCTTGGAACACATTTACGTGGATTAATAACAACATACATGAGGGCGCTGTTGCTGTTTTACATGAACGCATAAAACTCGGAGAGGCAATTAAATCCATGGCAGGCAAACTAACTTGTTTCACACGCTTTTATTTCCAACATCATTACATGTGTTTTTGTCAGCCTGTGTATTTCACTGTGTAGTCCGCTTACATCAGCAGAAAGTTAAGCAGGAATATTAAATCCCCAAGCCTGAATTTCTAATTTTGTGAAGTTCTCGGTTTTTGATCATGCAGTTTTTGTCCAGGATTTCGGGGCACTTAGCATTGAGATTTGGTAACAGGGACCGTGGAAGGTAACAGTAACATAATGCAGATTCATTCCCAGTCTCCCAGAACATGCCATATCGCCCCTCCTCCATGGTATCACCAACTTGGCTGAAGGGAACCGTAGTGTTCACCATGTGTTCACATACAAGTGAATGGATCAGAGTTACTTTTTAGTAGAGGGCGCTCTTCAACATATGTGGTCTGGGATTTTATAGGCTGCATACAATTCTGGTTCTGGTCGAGTCGGTAAAATTCACTCAGGAATATCACACCAACTTGTATGATATACATGTATTCCATGGTTGTTATTCGATTGATCTGATTGGCTGCTTACAATTACAAGTACATGCTAAATTGCCATACACACCAATGATATACATGCATTCCATAATTGTTATTCGATTGATCTGATTGGCTGCCGTCATCAGAAGATAACATTCTTGACCAATCAGCCTTCATGCTTCTGAGTCTTTCCCATCATGATCTGTTTCACCTCCTCTTACTGGCTGCTTTCTTTAGAACTTCTCAACCATTTCACTATTGGTTGGCAAATCTTTCCATCAACAATGTGTTTCACCTTCCCTTATTGGCTGCCTTCATAAAAGATCCCCATCCTAGACCAATAAGTTTTGCAAGAATTTGCCTTTCCAGTCATTTTCTATCACCTCCTCCCATTGGCTGGACTGACAAGATAACTTCACTCTAAACCAATCAGTTTCACAGATAGTTTGCATTTCCAGCCATTTTCTTCTGTCGCCTCCTCCTATTGGCTGCAGTCATCAGATGAGCTCCCTCTAAACCAATCAGCTTTGCAGATAGTCATTAGCAACTGTTTCCAGTCAATTTTTTTCTGTGACCTCCTCCTATTGGCTGGAGTGATAAGATCACCTCACTCTAAACCAATCAGCTTCTGGGCTGGTGTATACTTCCAGTCAGTCTGGGCCAAATAGTCCACTTTCTTCTTCAGGTCTTCCAAGCGCTGCAGGTGTAATTCTGGTGAAGTAAAAAAAAAGGAACATTCAATTAGAAAAAAACTGTGCACGTTTGTGGATAATTCAAGAGTGTTTTGGAAAAAAATGCTACAATATCCTGGGGTTTTTATTTAGATTCTTTGTGATGCAACAAAACAGTGTGCTAGACCTACATTAACATGCAATGAGCACTAAGCTTACTGCACCCTTGACAACAAAGCATTTAAATATACTAATATAGTAAATATACCCAATAATACAATGTATATTGAATGACTGAGACTCTCACTAAATATTGAGCCCTACATTCCCACTTTTGCTGATATTTACTTAATCCTTGTTTCAATATCATGAAGGCTTAGTTAATGAAGTCTTGTAATGCTTAATTTATATCATTCAGAGAGTGATTCTGCATATGTATTAAGTACCTAAACTTCATCGTTTCACGAGAAATTAACATGAAATCCTTGATTTTGGAGGCCTCAGATTAACATAGATGTACATAAGCCTGTTGTTTTACACATGCAAGTCTTCACCTAATATTCTGTCTGATGCTTACCCTAAGCCTGCATATGTTGACTAACTTGACTTGTTGCATGTTGAAGGGAATGTCACTGACTGAAGTACTGAGACTGTCTCTAGTAAACCGTCTATAGATGCCTTTCTGAGAACTAGCGGTAGACATTAAATAATCTGCCCAAAGGGTCTTCGATCGTAATCGCTACATGCTTTGAAACAAGCCATGCTCTTGCGTAACTTGCTCTTCTGTAAGCCCTGACTTGAATGAAACATTTACTGAAAAGGTACTTGCTTATACTTGTATGAAACAATCTTCACACTTGTACATGTACATGATGTCCTAGGAAGAGGTATGTTTGGATCAAATTAAGGTTTCTTACAAGTTGTTTTGAGCTACATTTCTGTTTACAACATGTGCCATTTTATACATCTACAACAATGTAATAATTATGCCGCACCTGAGAAACCACACAAAGATACTAACTTAAATACTACTTGTCAAGGTTTCATCTTGACAAGACACTTTTGAACAAAGCTTAATTTCATGCATGAAGCAGCTTTACAATAGCCTACATTAAGACATTGCTACTCACCTTTTTGCACATTCCTCATGCAAACTTCAGTGTCATGTTCAACCTGAAGCCTGCTGAGCAGGGGCCAATCTGGTAAGAGAAAGAAAACTGGTTTGTTTTAGGACAAATTAAAAAAGAAAGAAAAAAAGTGTCCCTGCCCGCTTCCTTTTTGGAGGCCGCCTTCTTTTTCTTTTTTTTAAACCGAAAAAAAAAAATTTAAACAGTGATATCATTTTTGGCCTCTTTGTCTGTTGCATCTAGCCCATATAAAGCTAGTACTAGTAGTAGGGCCTATGTCATTTCCTAAGTCCAAGTAGCCGCCAATTTAAAATAAAGCTAGTGGCCATCTTGAAAAATAGCCCGGTTGGGCGACCATTTTGGAGGGGAAAAAAAAGGACCTTCTCCTATTTTTTTTCAAAAAGGCAGGATGCTAAACAGGATTTTTTTTTATTTTGCCTAATTTAACAGTTGCTCCAAGCATGGAGATAGGCTACAGTACATGATGTACCCAGAACACTGACTTTTATTTAAAAAGTTGGTAATCCTTATCTTTAGGACACCTCTATATAATATAGAGATACTTGTGAAATATAATATTTCACAAGTTCTGTTCAAAACTGACTTTGGCAATAGACTCTCCAGTACCAAAGTGACTTTTGCAGGCTAAAGAAGTCTTTTATCTTCTGATTAATGTTCTAAAGTTGTAATTTTGAAAGCACTTTCAAAATGTGACTTTCCTACCTTTTTTGCAGTTTGCCATCTTGGTTTTTGAGTCTGTTTACTGTTTGTCATTGCCGTATTTACCCCCTAATTTCCCTCATAAATCAAAGCCCTGCCAGCCTCTTTCCACAAAATTAAACCTACTGATATTCAAGAAGGGTCATACTGATTACTGTTCAGATATAAGACAAGAAATATCAGAATGTCACTTTTGAGTGTCATTTAGTCAGCTGTTTTGGTGAGTCTTGTAACCTTATATACTAGGAACGGGGTCCTAAAAGTAAGGATTACCAAAAAGTTCAACCCTGAAGTGTGCAGCTAGAAGTTACACCTTTAAGTGTGCCCCAAAATGAGGGGAGATGAAAATCGACTTTGTCAATGTCACAGAAATTCTTAGCATGTTTAGTTAGTAATCCATAACTTGGGAAATTTGGCCCCATTTGTACCCAATTTCCGGACACCCAACCCTAGTCCCTACCTTATAATTTTTTTCTACTCACTTCCACTAGTTCCATGATATTTAGGCTAAAGCTGTTTACAGCATTCCACATCATCTTTTATTAAGGTGCTGCTACTAGTATCAAGCCTATATTTGACTGATGAATATGAAAGTCGTCAACTAAGAATTGGTAGGCTAGTTGGTTTGTCAAGACCACCATTCCGAATTTCCCTCGCACCATGCCGAATTTTCCAAAGTTTCTGTCTTGAGAAAAGTGGCGGGAAGTCGAAGTGCGCAGACGTTTCACCAGTGCACTTCGTTTTGAAGGCCGTTTTCTCACAATAATCTGATAATTCCGGTCTCTTCTTGTAACATTACTCTTTTCTAACAAACTTTTTACCTGGTTGGTCCTGTTGGCTCCCCTCCAGAGCAGTAGGGGAACGAAAAAGTGCTTTTCTTGGATTTTCAAATTCTGTTTTTCTCGACGTGCTCGCCATTTTGTATTTTAACTTCCGATAAGGTTGATGCCCAAAATACTGAATGAGAATTCAGTATCGAGGACGACAGGGAGGAGTCTTGTCCCCAGACCAACCAAGCTCACCACGAGAGGGCGGGCTGTAACATTACCGGTCATGATATTTAATTTTTTTGACGGATTGAATCATGGAGGAAGGAATAAATGTAGTTTGAAATGAAAGGCTTTTGCTTGGGGACGAACATTTGATCGTTTTCGTGGTTTAGCTGTCTTTTTGAAATTTTTACAATTTTTTTTCAAAATTTGTCAACTTTAAACGTGTGTTTGTGTGCTAACATGCGTGTATCCGATAATTAATGAAGGTCGTCGGACTCGGATTCAGACTCGGCATGCTCAGCTGAGCAAAGCATGCTAAGCCTAGACCCGTGAACGTGGCTTGTAAACTCAACGCCACGTTCACGGGTCTAGCTAAGCCAAGCACAGTCTAGAAAATGTTGTTTACTCTTCTTTTCTTAGCAAAATCTGCTGCAATGTCCCATATGGCAGTGTGATCATGTGTGAGGGCTATGCATGAGACTGTGAATTGGTAAATATCTATTATTTCTCAATAATTTGTCAATATGTGATTACTAATGCCGGTTTATAAATTGATTTTGTGTAGGCATACTTGGATTTCTTTGTCGTTTCAGAATAACTCAAGAACAGCAGACGTTTTGTAAAAATAGTTTTTTCTTAATTTGCGTGATGATGAGGCAAATTATATTTAAACATATGGTAGCAGATTTTATGCAGTTAGGCCAACATTTTCTTTTGAATTTTTAAATTTCCCTTTAAATATGCAAAATTTGCAACAAGTTTGAATTGAAAAATATAGATGCGGATGTTGTTAATTAAAAACATAATTAGCCTTGAATGTGCTGGCAGGCCAATATCAAATAACCTTGATGTATTGAATATACAGTGCAGTGCATGGAAAAGACTGCGTGTTGAAAAGATGTTAAAGTACAGAACAGCTGGATGTGAAATAGTTCTAACGGTCTGCCTCAAACTGAGACAAATTAAAAGTGAGGGGGAAAAAAATCGAAAATAATTGATTTTAATGTTAATGATTAATTCATGAAGTATGAATCACTTGATCAACCTAGTTTTAGTCAATAAATTGAGTTGAAAATACAATGGGCATTTTTTTTTTATAAAGCTAATAAAATGTTCAGAATTAGAGTCCGAAGTTTTAATTTCTGAAAAGAAAACCCAAAATAAGAGCAAAGGCCCTACATACAAGGCAAGGCAAAAAGATATCTAAATGTTGAATTGCTTTAAATTTGTACTGCAAATTATGGTTTATTTAATAAAATGAAAAGGGGGGAATTTTTTTCGGGGGGGGGGGGGGTTCTTGGGGGGTATTTGGGTTTTTTTTTTTTTTTTTTAATGAAGTTCCTTTTTGTTGCAAAACATGCATAATTACCTTCCAAATACCTTCATTTTTATTTCCATTTTAGAGAATTATTCTTCACAATTAACAAACTTGTGTACGTGCACAAAAGCACGCAGACAGCTCTAATTGCAGTTTTAATGATCTTTGTATTACTATTAGAAACATCCAGACAATATGGATGAAATTACCATAACAAAAATTAGGTACCTGCACAAATTGAATAAACATTATAATAACAACAGATTGTTGCCTGCAGAAAATTTCAGTCAATTAGAAGAAAAAGCCATAAAGAAAATGAGATCTAACCGACTGATGTGGATGAGTGATTTACATGGCAGTTATCGATATATCGATATGGGATCAGTGATGAAAAATTAAAAATAAAGTTGGAAAATGTATGATCTTAATATTTTAATTTATGCAAAATATTGCTAAAATTTCATTGTTAATTGCCTGTTGTGCCCATGCCCCGCAACAAACAAATATCAGGTTTTGTGGTAACAATTGACTTACCATCGATATATCAATTTTTTTTTTTTCACCTCACAGCCTGCATCTCGCTCAGCGCCTATTATAACCCATTGGCACTGCACGTCAAGTGTTTGTCTTCTGTCCGAGGGAAACGTAAGACGCTGAGCGTGGGTAGTACACGTGTCATTTCTCCACGGGATGCAAACGGAGAAAGGTCATCAATTTTGAAGATCGAATCCTGTCCTTTGTGCATGCAGCGTGTGAGAGTGGTGAGTTGACATAAATTTCTTTGTCACATATGTCTGTAGTTTGTTATCATATTTTGAATCTGTCATTTAAAAAACTATGTCCTAATTAATTAATCATTGTGCAAGGCATGTGAAGCATTTGTCTTAAATATTATTTTTTTCTGTTGATAAAAATGTATCTTTACATTAATCAACAAAATTAAAACCGAAAATATCAATAAGATTTTTAGCAGTCTGATGAGCAATTATATTTCGAACATATTAAAATGAAATTGACTTTGTTGCCCCCAATTTGATCACCATGTCATTGTGAACCACTGGACTAATGAAGTGAAATGAATTTTGCATTGATAAAAACCTTACAGAATTATTGCATATTTTAGTGTTATTTTTAAACCGTTCATCGGCTAATATTGAAAAGCAAATTATGATTGCTGACTTGAAAAAGCCTATGTAATATGTGTGGGTTTTATTTAATGTGCGATTGAGAGAACTTTGTAATCCTATGCAAAATTGTGCTGCTAAATTGTTCACGTTGTGAATTCACACCAAAAAAAACAGTTCAACTAAAGCAAATGTCTAAGGAATTTTAAATGTTTGGTGTGAATCGTGAAGTAGTCTTTGTATTGCTGTATCCTCCATGAGTTTTCAGATCCAATCGAACAGGAATCGAACCCCGGACCTCATATTTACTAATTTTATGACAACAGTCCCACGTTTTATTATTTAACCTTCAGCCCGTTTTTTTTTCCCCTTTTTTGTTTGTAGGTTTCTGAACTGACTGCCAAAAACCAATATCATTAAAGAACAAGATGGCCAAAGAAAACGGCTCAGATCAAAAGATGAAAAGTAAACCAGCCAATGAAAATAAAGCCAAGATGGACGCTGCTCAACCGAGCCGCATGAAACGGCTGCTTGGCTTTGAGCTGGCGGATATCAACAGTTGCAGGCGCTTTGTGAACTTCATGAACGAACCGAGGGATGCGTCGTCACTTGGCGTCCTCAGAATCATATTTGGTGAGTAGACTTACGTTTATTTTTGTGATATTTGGTTATTTACATATTTTAAGTTATACTGTTTATACCTGTGTTCCTGAATGCTTTCTTCATGTTACTGTGTAAAGCTGTTCAAATTTGAACCATTTTTCTACTCGATATTTGGAGACGTGCGTATTCCTAGTCAGTAATTTACAATGAAAAAATGCAATAATTAAATGAATTTGGCAAATGCCAATGAAGTAAATTGGATAAGGAGATGAATTTTTCTTGTTATCAATCATGCTAACTTTTTTTTTTTTAAAGGGTTTGCGTTGTAGTGGGCTTTTCTGCCGGGGGAACGTGATTGTTACACTTTTCCGTTAGCACTGAGATGAGAAATACTGTGAAATTCAATGCAACAATGTTGAAGTCATTTTGATTTGTGAAATAAAAACTAAAGTAGAATACTGCTTTCTATTTCTCTACGATTTCAGCCATCCTGATGCTGGTGGATATCCCTCAGGAGCGCGGCATGGCCAAGATTGTAACCCGCTTCGGCGACCCCAACCAATGTCACTTCCCTCTGTTCAACTTCCTGCAACCCCTGCCTGTGGACTGGATGTACGTGGTCTACCTGGTCATGCTTGTTGGTAAGTCTGTGAAACCTAACCCATCACTATGAGTATTACAATCAACTGAATATTCAAATACAAAAACCACGCAGGTACACACACAACTGTGATGTTAGCTGGCAGTTCTGAATATCCGAATAATCGGTCAAATGCAGTTTCGAGTAATCGAATACAAAATTATTTGGAAATGGACAGCCCTATCAACTGCGCAAAGCATTTTTAAAAATTTTGTGGTAAGTAAAATTCCAAACTATTGTCCTGGAATGAGCAAAATTTATTGCAGTTTTGTAAAAATGGTCAATAGAAACAATTTTTTTCGGTAGCCCGTATCCTAGATTGAATATCTTCTTGATCGACTTGTTGCTTCTTCTCATGTTACTCAAGGTGCTATTGGCGTCCTCCTGGGTGCCTTCTACCGTCTCAGCTGCATCATGTTCATCATCCCTTACTGGTACATCTTCTTCTTAGACAAGACATCTTGGAACAACCACTCCTACTTGTACGGTCTCCTCAGCTTCATGTTGCTCTTCCTGGATGCAAATAGATTCTGGTGAGTAAGAAAAAAAAGGGAATACTAATGTGATGGAGCAGTTATAAACGTTGGTTTAACACCAGTTAAGGGGCCTGGTTGCTGATTAAATACAGAGAAGAAAGAAAAAAAATATTTTGTCCTTATCAGGGCCACATTTTTTAATGGCTGGTTTTTCATGTTAATATCATTTATGCATAGCATTTATGTTAAATTTGATGAGAACAAAAGTGGCTTTGCTGAATATGGGTCATCAACTTTTTTTCCTGTCCCTGTTACATCCGACATCTATGATTTTATAATTTTGATGCACTCCTTAATGCAGTCATCCTCCAAGAGTGATTGTGAATAGCAATTTACCTGCCCAACATATGCGAAATCGTTTGAAGTCCTTGTTCATAATGTTGAATGGTAACTGACAAAGTTCCAAGGTAACGGGGACAGGAAAGAAGTCATACTTTGCAATAAAGTTATAGAATGACCCGTATAATTGTAAAAAGCTCAAGAAGTGTAGATGCTACTTCTATCCAATTTTGCATCAACCTAGACCCGAAAGCGAATCAGTTTTGCATTTTGTCTTCCCTAATTCTAGGTCACTTGACGGCTTGAGAAACCCTAAGCTGAGGAACGCACACGTCCCGCTGTGGAATTACGCGCTCCTCAGGACCCAGGTGAGTTGTGAACCGTAGCCAATCCAAACACAAGGGAGGTAGTACGAGTGTAGATAATAGGTGGAAAACCAGTGTTGTAGTCGTGTCCATCACAAGTCCGTCACAAAACCTCACACAAGTCCATCGGGGGTCGGTCACAAGTCAAGCAGTTCCGAGTCAAATCGCAAACTATTCAAAAAGATTGTGACAGTAGATTTATTTAGATATATAAATTTTCATTTCAGAGTCACAGTTTTAAACGGTTAATATTTTGTATATTAAAGTTGAACAAAGAAATTGACTGGAGCAGGCCGGTTTTGGACCTGCGACCTCCGGATTACCGTTCCAGTGCTCTACCAACCAAGCTATCCAGTCCTATGTTTGCGGTTTCCCCATTTTTCTGTCTTTGTTCAAGGGACGCTACTTAAATATTTTTAACAATCACAAGATAAATGCAGAGTATTTAAGAACAATTTTTTTTTAAATACTTTTTTTTCCCAGATATTTTTTGTCTACTTCCTGGCCGGCGTGAAGAAGATGGATGCTGATTGGCTGTTTGGATACTCCATGGGCGCGCTGTCCAGTCATTGGGTCTTCGATCCTTTCAAGTGAGTTTTTGAAATTGGAAGTTGATTCAAATTGTCTTCAGTTTTGTTAAATGTTGACATTAAATAGTGATATCCATGTCCTAAAAATGAATAAACGCATCCATATTGAACAATCTTCCGAGAGCCTTTCAGGACTTGAGGACTCTCGCTCTGTATCGAAAAATAATAATTTCGACGAATAAAAATATGGTACCATATAAAAAATAAAAAAAACGTATTTTAGAAGATCTTATGAAGGGTTTAAGATTGAAGTACAGTTGTGGAAAAATTAGACATGTAAGTTAGAGTGCATTCGCCCATGTATCTTAGAAACAATGATATAATTCTGGTAAAAATATAATCTTATGATGGCAACTGAATTTCAAAGTGCATTTGTATTCTAATTATTTTCCCCCAGGATAATTATGACCGACCAACAGATTGATCTCTTCATTGTCCACATTTGCGGCTTCCTCTTGGATCTTACCATCGGTTTCTTCCTCTTCTTTGATAAGACGCGGCCCTTTGCCTTCATCTTTTGCGGCAGCTTCCACGCGATGAACTCGCAGATCTTCAGTATCGGTAGGTCATAAATCACTTTTTTTGTGTCATTTTTGTTTCTATTCTTATTTTTGTGTGGTAATAAAACCGATGGTTCCTCAAAATTGCTCAGGTGCTGTAGCGCGCAAGCCTGAAGAAAGCAAGGTGGAGAAGGCGATAAAGAAAAATTCCCTGACATTTTAGGTCAGCGAACCTTATGGAATCAGGTTATAATTGAAAACGCAATCCTCATTTTGGCCTCGGCGGGATTCAAACCGGGGTCTTGGAGGTGAAAGGCAAGGAAAGTACTCCAAATATATTCAATGTTTTTTCCTGATATTTATTGTTATTAATACCTTTCTATACTTTCTATCAGATCTTGAAGGCCCAAGATTCTAGATATAATTTATCCCAACTCCATAAAAAATTTCTGTTAGAAAGCTTTATGAATTTCTGTTAGAAAGCTTTATGAATCTGCCAAACATCACTTCATATCTAAACAAGAGGAGCACAGAAAAATTGGGGCAAAGTGTCTTGCCCAAGGACACGAGCACCGTGATCGAAAGTTCTTTGATTTCTTATCTCTTAATCGACAGGGATGTTCCCCTACGCCATGATGGCCACCATGCCGGTGTTCTGCTACGCTGACTGGCCGCGTTACATCCTCTCCCGCCTCCCAACGTCCTGGAGCAGCAAGCTCATGGCTCCTCCTGACGTCCAGCAGAGAAGTGAGCACTGCGTGTATGCGGAGGAAACCAGTTCTAAGGTAGGTGTTTCTTGGTTGAAATGTGACACACCACAAAAATATGCATGGGCAAAAATGAACCAGCACAATCAATTTTGAGTTTAGCATGCACTTGCTAAACACAGTGCAGCACTGTGGTCTAATGGTTACATCATCCAACTCATGTGCAATGGTACATGGTTCAAATCCTGATTGGAATATGGTGTTTGTGTTCTTGAGCAAGACGCTTTACTACAATTGCCTCGATCTCTCCACCTAGGAATATAAATGGGTAATAAATGGGTATTATGTACTAAATGCCATGTGAAATTTATAGTCTGTCGAGCATGATGTCAAAAAAAATCTTAGACTTCAAATTATTTTGTTACTGTCACAATTGAATTTTCCTGGATGCAAAGTAGGATCAAGAAGTAGAAAGTATTAACATAAATAGACTCTAAAATCATCAGTTGTGAAATTATGAATTTACGTTTGGTTTTGAAAGAAAAAGCCTTGGCTAAAATGAACTGATAAAGTAAGATTCCACTAAGGTTTCACTCACGGGGTCAAAGCTCAACCAATCCTTGATGTAATATTTATGTCCATTCCTACTTTCAAAATAGGAAACTCCCAAAGACGTCAAACCCAAAGAAGCCAAAGAGAAGAAGCCCAAGACCCAAGAGTCTCACGGCCAGGGAGTTCCCCGCCTCCATCACTACCTGGCCAGCTGCTTCTTCCTCCTCTACATCGCCGCTCAGCTCTTCTTGCCGTTCTCTCACTTCCTGACCAAGGTAAGACCACGTCCCAATTACTTGGCTACGCCCGAGCAGTTGCACTTGCATGGAAATCGTGTGTTTTCAAATTTTGGGGTTCACAATTTGAACAGAAAACCCCTAAACTGAACAGTGTCTTCCTGAAATGACATCATAGCAACAGCTCCCTCAGTTGTCTGGAAAAGTATGGACATTTTTTAAACGCAGTGGCTATTGTTACGGCAGCTGTAATGCATTTCCCATTTTCTATCGTTACGGTAGACTGCAACTTTTATAAAAACATGACAAGAAAATATAAAATTAGAAGGAAAAAAGTGAATTTGAACGTTATGAAATTTGGACTTTATTTCCCTTTTAAAAAAAATTCTCCAAAGCCTCAGGTTAGAAAAGGAAAAAAATTTGAGTGCAAAACTGAGATCCGAACCCGCAACCTCGCGGTGCAAAATCCTACCCTCTATCGACTGAGCTGTCGCACTGCTCGCTAAAATGTGTGGAAACAAATAATTATATACCTGCGTGTGTATCAAAAAAGTATCGTAGAGGGCGCTAAACAACGACTGCCGTAACGATAGCCACTTCGTTTTTTAAATGCTTAAAGAAGAGCACTTTTCAATAAAATCATCTATTTATTGTTATCAATGTTTTTATCGTTGTCATTCTTTAAGGGCTACAATAGTTGGACGGAAGGCCTGTATGGCTACTCCTGGGACATGATGGTCCACAACTGGCACACCCAGCATGTCAAGGTGCACTTTGTGGATTTGGAGACTGGAGTAGAAGGCTACCTGGCAACTAATGTAAATATTCACGTAGTATTAGTCTCTCTTCCAGCGTTGTAACATTTACTGTGCGCTTGTCTGTCACAGATTGGATGCTTGGTAAGGCAAGCAAGGCTGGAATCGAAGGCTATTATGTCAAGTCCATGGAACCATTAAACAGAAAATATAGCTTAGTAAATTAATGTAATAAGCAAAAAAATTAATTGAACCAATAACAAGCAACATGCATGGCAAGACATTTTGGGCTGGTTAACTGTTCTTTTCTAAGCAATTTGCTTTGTTCTTAGCAAATTTCTGCAATAACTTGCTTACAGGGAATTGCCAGATTCAGTTTCTGACATGTGTAGTTCCATCTATCTTGCCATGTATCCATACGTTTAAGTGGAGATTTTATTGAAGGCTTGAGAAAGAGACTAATCTGTACCCGCATTAGTCTTTTTCTCAAGCACCATTGGCAGTTTTAAATGCTGTTTGAATGTGTAATACATAAATCCTTTGTTTTCTGCCTGATAGTTTTACACCCCACATTTTGCTTGTTGTGTTTGTTCACAAGGTTTAGACGTTTCCCTGAAGCTTGAGGAGGAGACTAGTCTTTACCCAAAGTTTGTTGTTATTTATTTATTGTTGGTTTGTTTATTTGTTTTCCCCCTGGATAGTACTTCACGCCACATTCTGGTCGTTGGGTCGGCCACGCCGACATGATCAAACAGTTTGGCACGTGCGTCAGCAAGAAGCTGAAGGACCAAGGGTATAAAGAGCCCGCCATCTATCTAGACGTCTGGAAATCAATGAATGGCCGATTCTCGCAAAGGTATCAACCGTTGATTTTAGCACCAATCTAGACAGTTTTTACTTGTTTTTTGTTTGTTCACCCTTTAGCACTTGTGTTACATTGTGCTACAATGTATTTACTTCTTGATGTATCCATGCAACTATTGTGTTTAGGGCAATATAAGGAGTAACAGGCAGGGCGATTTGGGGCAGTACAGGGAGTAACAGGCAGGGCAGTTTGGGGCAGTACAGGGAGTATCAGGCAGGGTGGTTTGGGGCAGAACAGGGAGTAACAGGCAGGGTGGTTTGGGGCAGTACAGGGAGTAACAGGCAGGGCGATTTGGGGCAGTACAGGGAGTAACACTGAGGCAGGGCAGTTTGGGGCAGTACAGGGAGTAACAGGCAGGGCGATTTGGGGCAGTACAGGGAGTAACAGGCAGGGCAGTTTGGGGCAGTACAGGGAGTATCAGGCAGGGTGGTTTGGGGCAGTACAGGGAGTAACAGGCAGGGCGATTTGGGGCAGTACAGGGAGTAACACTGAGGCAGGGCAGTTTGGGGCTGTACAGGGAGTAACAGGCAGGGTGGTTTGGGTCAGTACAGGGAGTAACAGATTCCGAATGAAGTATATATATATTTGTCTCTAAATAATAATTTGTCTTGTTCCTTGACTCATTTCTAGGATGTGGGACCCGCATGTTGACATAGTCACAGCCCCCTGGTCGCCATTTGAAGACGTGGCATGGAACCTGCCTCTGCTGACGGAGCTCTCCAATTGGAGGGATAAAGTCGAAGAGATGGAGAAGGCGCTGGAGAAGAACGAAATTGACGTGGCGTTTGTGGCAGATTTCCCAGGTAGAGTCTAGACTTGACTCAATTTCATAACTATGTTAAGAAGAGAAAGTTGTTTTTAGCACAGATAATATCTGCTGTGCAGAAACAGGTTACCATTACCAAAATTGCATGCAATTTGTATGGTGTGTGACTGGTTCCCAGCAGACTTTTTCTCAGCACATAAAGTCACATAGCACTTTCTGTTCTGCTTAAACAGGTCTATGAAACTTTTCATAATTTCATTAATGCTCCTTAAGAAGCATTTTTTAGCTTAACTGGTGGAACGGCCAGCAGATTTGTTCATAGTTGAGCAAGCTCAACTGAAGGATGGCTGGACTACTCTAGTCGACTACTTGGAACCTGACCTCAGGACAGGGTTGCGTCACTGGTTACCGGAATAGCCACTCGCATCATAAAGCTCATCATGCAGTTAGCCTGAACCAAGACATTTTGTGAAGACTTAACCCCCATCGTTCAGCTAGAGACGTCATAATCAACCAGTCGTTGACTAATAAGTGAGCAAAATGTAGCCTCATAGCTGCGTTCTGCGCTGCTTGAGCAATGTCTCAATCCAATGCAAATAGGAGAATAATCCTATTCTGTTGTGTGTCTCTTGCAACTGATGCAGGGCTATACCTTGAGAACTACGTGAGCGAAGACTTTGGCAACACCAGCCTGGAGGTGCTTAAAGGGGAGGTCGTGGTTGAGTTAGTTGACGATCAGAAGAATGTGACGCTCACAGAAGGAGACAAGATGCAGGTAAGACGAGGAGGCCTAAATAGTCAAGACGTATTTCTCAAGAGCTTTATATTTTTTTCGATCAAGCCAGATTAACGTTATCTTTATTTTGGGGAATCGGTTTTCAGGTCCCCGCCGGTCACTTCCACAACGTCCACACCATCTCCCCCATCCCGTCCTGCTACATGTACACCTTTGTCAACGAGACGGCCATCAAATTTGACCAAGACGTGGACAAGTTCATGAACGAGCATTTAGCCGGCAAGAACTTCAGTTTTGCCACTGATGAAAAACTCATACTGGGTAAGCCTGCAGAATAGCATCTCTAAGTGTATGTGGACTCAAGAAAGTTACTTATATGCTTCGTTCAAAACTTGAATTGTTTTCCCTGAATGGATTCTAGATCAGTATCCTTGGGTAGTCAAGAAGATGCCCATATCCTAAAGTTCCGCATTTATTCATTTTTCTAAGGGGGAGGGTGGTTTCAGAACTAGAACGTTAACATCTTCCCCACCCTTATCTCCTAGAAATTTTGGACAGTAAAGTTGGTGAATCCTCCTTAAATCCTCCCCTCATAACAATAAATTCTTTGCATTTCAATTTAAGACAAAAATACAAATTCATCAGCTTGCAGGGGTGGAACTCTTACCAACAACTTCTGCTAAGGCGCAGTGGTTACATTCCTCGCCTTCCACGGCTGTGGCCCGGGTTCGATTCCCTGCCTGGGCCACATGCGGATTGGGTTTTCAGTCCCTACCTTCTTCCGTGGGTTTTCCTCAGAATATTCTTCTAGGTTTTCCTTCCCACCTCTAAAACTGTAATTTCTTCTCATTGTCTTCTCTCTACGGGTTTCTTCAGGCTTGCAAGCTACAGTACCTAGGGCACTTTTGAAAAATCCGTGGTTTCGGTACCAGAAATAAAATAATTATCATAATAACAATAACATCTCTAAACCACTCAACTGTCGAGCCTGCATGGGTCGATCAGCAAACTCAGTGGTCAGTGACCAGTTCAAAAGTCTATTGTGCAAACTTTTTTTCTATCGTTTTATGTTTCAAATCATTTTTTTTTTTTTCAATTAATGTTTCTGACCCTTGCCTTCCATAGACGATGTGGACGTGAACATGTCAGACCCCATGGTCTCTCTGATGGTGGAACATCTGGTGAGAGCCAACCAGAGAATCAAGAAGAAAAACATGACCATGTTCCAAAAGACGCACCGGTTCTTCACGTCCAAAGCTCAGATCTTGCAACACACGTAAGCGTTATAAAAAAAAAATTGAAAAATGTGAGGCGTTCCAGCAAAATGAGACAGAACTGGGCAGAGTTTGAAATGAGGGTTTGCAAGTATTAGGAAAGAGAATACAAAGCTTCTTACAATACTGTTTGTTGCACTTCAATTAGACATTCCGTTGACAAGTTATGGCTGTTTAAAGGTCGCAGTTTACCAACATGTCAAAAAAAGTAGAATACCGAGAAAAAAAAAGACCTTTAAAGTTTCAAGTTTTGCAGTCATGGAAATGAAACATGCCAATTGTTTTTCTTTAACCTCCCTTTGTTCCACGATATTTATACTATTTCTTAAAAATACGTTATAGTAGACATATCAAAGATTACAAAATATCAATAAATCTGAAAATATTAAAAAATTACCCCAATTGTTGTTTTTTAGTTTTTGCATTTTCTCCACTACAGTCTGTGCCCAGTTCCGTCTCATTTTGCCAGCATGCCTCACAAATGTTTAATAGACCCCGTGCACATAGCACCCCCAAAAGGGGACAGGTTTGGGGTATTTTCAAGTCAGTGATAATGAAAATATTAGGTGTATACTCGTGCATGTCTCAGGTGAAGAAAGACTTGTTCTCATTCGGGACACTCAGTGGGGCCAAGGATCTATCGGCCTTAGGAGAACGGCGCAAACGGTGTTCAAGGGCCATGAACGCCCTGGCGAAATTTGATATTCGAACATATATTTTGTGCAAAATATCCAAGCTTCTAAAATATGAGCAGTTTCACAAAACAACATGCCTTGCAGTGGACTAGTCACCCATCCCAACCCTACTCATACTGTGAAGAGATTAGATTATCTTGTCTTGTTTCAGTGTGAGGGGCTGGTTCTTCCATACTTTCCTCTGTAGCCCACACCTCAAGTGGCCTTTGGCCTTGTGATGGGCGATTTTGCATTTAAACAAACAAGAAGGAGAAAAAACAAAAGATGTAATTTGATGCCACGTAGAGTACCGAGTCAAAGAAACACTCTAAATTGAGAGAATATTTCCCCTAGAAAAAAAACCTCATAATTTCTTGTTCATTTCGGTGCTTTAGCAGCTTTGCGCTTATCTTGCGCCGTGCATGCATTACTATTATTTGATTTTTCGAGCTTTTTTTAATTTCAGTTTCTGTGTCTGGTGTCCTTGTTTTATTATAGTTTCGTACAGACTGCCCGGGCGTTGGGTCACATCTTTCTGGGGATGGACTCGGTGCTGACTCCGATACTGCCGGCCACAGAAGACCAGGAACCTGCACAAGAACCCCCACAACAGCCCCCGCAACAGCCCCCGCAACAGCCCCCACACCCTGACGATGAACTCTAAAGTCTGAACTCCGAACTCTCTTGCGACCTTCGACCTTAGCAGGTGGGAAAAGACAGCTAGAAAGACCAGCAGGGTTCAAGAAACTCCAGAGTGTTTGTGCCCAATGTTGTCCGGGACAGGCAACATCAATCTAAGTAATGGACATATTGTTGACTAATTTCTTTTCATCATTCCGTAATCGGACATACCATCGTAAACGTCTTGTATTTTTGTGCCAAATTCAAAAGCATAAAGTGCCTGTGAGCTTGAAGTGGAAATGTTTTATGGAAGGCTAGTTTTTTGTAGTGTCATGCAGTGTCGGAGCTTGGCAAATACGCACAGTCATGAATTTCTATACACCCGAGGACAATGCTTTGTGGTTCCCTTTGTCCCTGTAATATAACACTCTCCCATAGACTAAGCACATAACCGTACGATTGAGGACCGTTTTCAACAAAAGACCCAACGCTCGAGGAATGAAAGGATCTTTTGTTCTCCCTTTGTGTGTCTGTCCTCTATCGTAAAGCCATACAAATACACATAAACTATATTTAGTGTCAGGATTTTAAGTTTACCACTGAAAATGTATGGTGTTAAAAAAACACCTTGATAATTAGGCGATTAGCCACCATAAAGACTCACTGATATTTGAAAACACTAAGAAGAAAGAATTCTGCTGTATTTAGCAAGTATTCAAAACAGGACACTGTTTTTTTGCATTTAGTCCTGTAATCCCTTTCAGAAAAGAAAATATTGAAGCCTTCGTCGTTTATTTATTAATTTTTAATATTGTGTAGACTTATTCTGCTAAAGTATTAATTCACGTTATTCATGCTTGTATCGCCATGAACGTGATAAAACTTGCCCATTCGTGTCACAATGCCGTAAAGACATATATATTTTGTTGTGCTCTTAGTATCTAGTGAATTTTTGTCTTTTTGTGGTTTCATAGTTATATATATATATAGAATGCTTTATTGTCTGTAGATTTACTTAAAGTGCAATATATAATGTAGTTGGTTTTGAGTTTTGTGATGCTTGTACAGATAAAATGTTTTAGATGGTTAGATGTCGAGATCACAAACTTGCATTGTCTTGCCCTTTTTTTTTGGTCACAAGGGAATTGTAGTTTTTGGGTGGTTTTGATTACAATCAATTTAAAGCTTCCATTTTTTGTTAATCATTTCAATTTTTTTTTTTTATTTCATTTACTGTTTGTGTTCTTGTTGAGCCTGAATTCAATCAAATGTCCTCAGTAATTTGTAAAATGTAAGGAACAAATCCAAAACAAACTTTTGGAAAGTTTGAGGATTTTTTTCTTAACAGAAATACTTCAGCTACCTAGCTACATTATCTTGGTGAGCACTCATTTTAATTTGTTTTATGTAGAAGTAGTCTTCAGCTTAGTTTTACAAAATATCTATTTTGTATTTTTTTTCCAGGGTCATTTCGGGATTTGGTTATGTGCAATATGAAAGGTATGCTAAATTGAAATGTTACATTTTGTTCCATAGCAATCAAATTGCTAAAATGCTTTATCATCATCATCATCATCACCATCGTTGGTTTAAGGCCGTTGTCCAGTCTGTTCTGGGTTGGCCACATTCATGTAATAATAAGCCTATGAAACCAAATAAATGAATTAATTAATTGAATTGTGAGCATCGAAATTTGTAATTAATTTGTTCTTTTGAGTGCACTCATGCAGTTGCTTGTATCTTGGATGCGTTGTTTTGCAAAACATAAATTTCATTTTGAGAAACCTTATGTTTTCCAATCCCAGTTTTTTCAACTGCGTGTTCTTGTATGAGTAAGGATTGACAAGACAAACTTGTGCTACACCCGTAGCGCGCCACTCCCTCCTCCCCCCCCCCCCCCCTCCAGAAAAGGTGGGAACTTGTAATCCTCATATTAATGGATGGAGGTCTTAGAAAATACAGGAGAAATATCTAGCATGCCTAATTTAACAAGAGAGCAACTCGCCCCGATCACTCTATCAATACGTCAATTAAATACAACTAATTTATTCTAATCTTTTATAATGAACGGGGCTTTTTTCCACATCACTACCCTTTTCATATCATGAAATTTTCCGCTCCAGCTATTTGACATAGCGCCCTCTGTTGATGAATAAAAAACACCTGTTGCCCTATCCTGTACATTTGTTGAGCCGTGCGAGGATTTGTTTTCGTGATTCGCTCAGTTGCTAGACGTGCTGCAGTTCAGATTCTCGCCGCTTTACGACCGGATTTCATCTGAGGATAGGAGGAAAAGATTAAAGCGACGTAATTTGGTAAGTATTCTCTGTACTGGTATTTTCCCTGAGTGGTGACTTAATTTAAACTTTTTTTAAAGGCAGTTTGCGAAGTGGGCCTCTCTTTCTTTCTTTCACTAAATACTGCATCTATTTCGTGAGAATCCCCAGTCCTAGGCGTCGTCTGTCCCCATTATTAAAGCCTCATTCAAAGGCGATTGTGTAGGGTAGGGCCCTGACAAAGAATGTTGCAACCTTACGCTACTTCGGCGGTTGTGTACAAAGTCTATGGAGAGTCAAGAACATTTTCTAAGTTACTACTAGGCTAGTTAGAGTAGGGCCTACAAATGGGAAATGTTTCTCAGTCCAGAACAATTCTGCCAACTGGACACCACTTACCTGCCGCCAAACATCCAAATTTTCACCTCACCTTGTGATTTCAACCAAGAGGAATCCAGGAAAGAGTGGACATGCGAAAAAAAATTGGTAAAAATGTGTTTTTGGAGCACATTTTGCATGCACATGTAGTGCAGATCTGAGTTGAAGCAGCCGGTCAAAACTGATTAAAGTGTCTGGAATTGAACAGCGGTACGTTGTACGCATGACATCGATAACCATGACGTCGCATGAGACGTCGCATGAGCCGGCCAATGATAGTGCAATACGTCATTATGAATATTTATTTTCTCATGAATATTTAGTTTATTTCAATGGATACTTCAAATACGTCCAAAGATTGATCATTGCAACGGCGATCGTGCGCGGCCTAGCGGTTAAGAGACTCGTGTATCAAGCAAGCGTTCGAGGTTCGAATCTCGAAGAAGTGAGCGACTGATTGATAAATAGAAATTAAGGAAAGGAGGGGGTGAGAGTAGAGGAGGGAAAGTGGAGGGAATAACCATAAAAGAGGTAAATTTTGGCGCTAGAAAATTTATTGAAAAAAGTGGTGTCCGGTTGGCAGAATTTTTCCCTTTTTTTATGTTTGTCATGTTTGTCTAGCTTGAAATGTTCAGCTTTCCTAGGCTCATCATGACATGGGAGATTCACCAGGAAAGCAGGAAAGTTTAGCTAAGTTAGAACGCGGATCAGGTGTTGGTCACGTTTTTTTGCTGATATTTTCCATGTCCGTTTAAATTACAAGCAAAAACTCACCTATCACAGCCTATAATCCTTCATGCAGCAAACATTCTCTCAAATTGATAATACGGTCAAGCTGAACCCGAAATAAAAGGTTTAATTAGTGCAACTCCTGGAGTGCACAAAGTCTTTTTCGTCACGTCATTCGATTTGTGTAAGATGCTATGACGTCGCGCCGCTACATGGCGCTAGGCCTATACCATCTTGGGCCAGCAAGTTGCCAGACTAGACCGAAACGCACGTTTGGGAAGCTACTTTTTGGCAACCACTAGTCGGTTTTGCCTGGTAACCTTTACACAGAGTAACCTGGGTGCCAGGCAAAACCGACCAGTCTTAAATTAAAGAGATAGATGTAGCATTCTATATTTAAATGTGGAATTTTTGTGTCCAATTAAAATCACATCTGCCTTCCATCAAGGACTCGCCCTTTAGTTAACTCAAACAATGACATAATTTTCTGATACAAAATGTTGGAAAAGATGTAAGATACAACCAAAAGAGTTAAGATGTTCCCATAGAGGAGAACAATTTTGTGGAAAATGTACAAAAAAGTAACAAAAAATCAGGCCTGTTTAAAAAAAAAAAGAATCTTTTTTTTCTAAGTGTATATTCTGTGGGTGTGTGTGTAATTATTGTAATTTTAATATTTTTTGCTAAATTGCATAATGATAGAGGGAATTTGCTTAATTATTTAACTTCATGACATTTAACTTTAGTTTCATAATGATCAAATAAATGTATTTGAATAATTTAAACTTAAGTAGTCGGTTTTATCTGACAGCGGCAATACTAAAACTTCAATCATTAATGTCATTCCTCAAGAAAAAAATTAATCCCCTTCTATTACAGGGGATTTGCGTGCTCATCCAAAGATAATTAAAAATGTATACATTATTCTGTTATCTACACAAATGGAGTCTTTTTCTAGGTACAACTTTGTTCGTATAATGTACGTATAATGTGTGCAAACTACATGCACACACTCGCATATCTCATTAAAAGTGGAATTTGTAACGGGACGATTTCTTCTCGTGCCTATTCATGCCTTAAGTCAATAAATACGGTGCAAAGTATTATTACAAATGGCCATGTGTCATTTTGTAGGCTGCGTTAGCATTCACTTAAATGGATGTTAAATGTTAGGGGTCTTTAAATGTTGTGGGTCGGCTTGTGTTTACTTTAAAGGGAATGTACATCATTGGCTTTTGCTGTAATTTTCAGAAATGAACTATTGGAGGGGTTAGTATAATAGATCAAATTTTGTTACACTGACATGTTTGAAGTTTTGTTTTCGAAAAATGCTGGAAAAACCAAGGAAAACAAAACTGTTCAAGTAGTCTGTTTCCCTGACTCCACTGAAGATGAAATGGATCAATTTACAGATGCCGGAAAATTGTACGCTAAGGGAACCAGTCTAGCTGACCTGCACCCGTTCATGAACATGAAACCAATTAGCAAACAAAATTGGACTGAAAAAATGGTAAATTTGGAGCAGTAGTGAAAAATAGTTAGGTTTTTCCTACGGTGGTCGGCCGACCACCGTTGGAAATGTAAACAAAAATACAATTTTCTTGAAAATGACTTCACACCAGGTGCCATAATTTTACAGGATGCTTTAGACTGTCATTTACCAACATCCTGTAAGGTATTTCGTAAAAACTTGGTCATTTTATTTTTCGATGTTTGCAAATGTTGTATTTTCCCTTTAAGGCAGTATTTCGTACATTGACATTAATTGAATGCAGGATTGCTATCAGCCCTCCTGCTATCTGAAAAGCTATGTTTGCAAATGTTGTATATATTACCTTTTAAAGGAATTCTGTACAAATGCAAGTTTTCATCACCAAGGAAATGAATTAATTTAACTAGAAATAATTTGTTGATAATGCACACGTGCTTTAAGTTAACACATGAATATTGGTCAAACCTAAAAAAAAATTGTAATATCGATTGTTTTCTTTTTAATAAAAAGATGTTGTTCTGCAGTATGAAAGTGCATCCTTAACACTTTATTAAGGGATAATGTCTACAAATTATATTGATTGAAATATCATTTTTGTACAAAATTGTACATATTTACCGATAATAAAAAAAAAACTTTATATAATATTAGTTAATTTATTTATTAATTTTATAAAAAAAAATTAATCAATTTTTTATTCCTGCTTTTTTTTCAATTTCCTTTAATTTAATTTGTTTTTGTTTGGGCTGGGGGAGTATTTTTAGTACACAGGTGCATTAAACTCAACGATTGAAGATGTCTAAGATGCTGAATTTTGTTTCCGCCCAAATAAATTGAAAATCTGAAATGATAGAAGGCATGAAAGCGAAGCCGGACGTGATTGCAGTATTTAGTAATCCATCAGCAGGCAGAGTCTTCTCAGTACTTCCCCCCATCTGCCGACCCTCGTGGGAATTGTAATCAAGCGGTGAGATTTTGACGAGAAGGGATCTAGACAGGGATTTAAACACATGCTCTTCTCTAATGAGTGCTGCGCTTCCTTGGGCTGGTCACACTGGAGGAGACTCATGAATTCATTATTTTTTTTATTTTTTTATTTTGGTTGTAAATCTAGAATTTTTTTTTTGGCTCATTTCTGAGTGATCTGCCTCTTCTAGATATTCCTCAATATCGACAATTTTGATATTTCGATATGATTAAAAAATTGCTATCGACGATATCGATATCAAAATAATATCCAAAATTGAGTAATATCGATACATCAGCGGTGCAAGTGAAACAACCGGCAGTACCCCGCAAAAACACCTGTATGTCCGGATAGAAGATTTAACACTCGTAGGTGATGGATCTGGTAACCGCAGATTATAAATAGCAACACTGGTCACATAACCAGCAGTAACCCGTCAAACACCTGTACATCTGGTTATTAAGTTATTAATGCCAGCCGGTTTAACCGGTAACTTGTAAGTTATTGATAACGACCTTACAATCTCCCTTGAAACAACTGACAAAAATAACTTGAGTAGTGACGACGTGCCTCAACAAGGTGCATGGTACCCGTAGTTCTATTTGAAGCAGCACTAGTAAATCATGCAGTTTGAAAATCGATAACAAAATTGTCTTATTTATGCATAATTGAAATTACCCACAGGCACTAGTTATATTTAGCTTCCCAGAGTGTATTTTTTCCCACTTAAAAGGTCGTCTACGAGTGAATTTGTTTCACATTTATAGTGTTTGTTAAAAAATAAAATAGTCTCTTCTAGTAGCCTAAACATGTTTGAACAGAATTGAAAGGACAA